TGCCAATCGGCCAAATGGTGAGCTTAGCTAACAAAAATCTGTCATGAGTACTATCTCTTTAAGTTTTATCCATAGGAGATCAGATTGACAAGAGTAATTGCAAAGATTGCATAGGAAACTCCAGCAGCACTGAGTTTACACTAATAGGGGAAGAACACTGCAGAAAAAAAAAGAGTAAAACACTACTCAACTCGAGGAATATATTCATGTCACAGAATTGTACATGCAAAAACTCTTGAATTAGTACGTGTTTTACTATCAAAACAATGACAAAAATAAAATTCATTTTTAACAAAATTCTTTTTAAAATGTATCTACTCAAATGGCCCACGCTAAACTACCATATGTGCAGGCTGGATTTAGAAGAGGTCATGGTACTAGGGGTATTATAACTAATGTTAGATGGATCTTGGCAGAAAGCAGAGAATACCAGAAGAACGTCTATCTGTGCTTTATTGACTATGGAAAGGCTTTTGACTGTGTGGATCACAACAAGCTATGGCTGACTCTGAGATCAATGGAAATCCAAGAACATTTGGTTGTGCTTATAAGAAATCAACACTTGGACCAAGAGGCAATCATCAGAGCAGAGCAAGAATACACTGCATGGTTCTGCATGGTTCAAAATTGGGAAGGGGGTCCACCAGGGATGTATTCTGTCTCCATATCTTTTCAATCTGTATGCAGAACAGATCATCCGGGATGCTGGGCTGTATGAGGAAGAATGTAGCATCAGGATTGGTGGAAGATTCATCAACAACCTGCATTATACAGATGACACAACCTTGCTTGCTGAAACTGAGGAGGATCTGAAGTGCTTGCTGAAGAAGTTCAAGGACTGAAGCCTTCAATATAGTTTGAAGCTCAACATCAAGAAAACAAAGATTCTCACCACTGGGCCAATTGGCAGCATCAATATGGATGGTGAAAAGATTGAGATTGTTAACAGTTTTAGTTTACTTGGCTCTACAATCAACACTCTCAATGAGATGGATGGATTCAGTAATTAGGGTGGTAGAAGTAGTTGTGTCGGAAACAGGTTGGCACAGGATACAGCAGAATTTAGGGCTCTTGTACATAGGGTCCATGTGAGTTACAAGCTACTCGACAGCACATAACAACAACAACAACTCAATGGCCCAACAAACACACTTCTGGGTATTTACCTAAGAAAAGTAAAAACAGGATTCCAAAGACCTGAACGTGAATGCTTATAGCAGTTTTCTTCATAATTACCAAAACCTGGAAACAACTCAGGTGTCCCTCAGCTGGTGATTAGTTAAACCTTGCAGCATCTACATAATAGACAAAGCTATTAGAAGGAATGAACTACTGATACACATAATGGCTTAGGTGAATGTCACAGATACTATTGTAAGAGAAAGAGGACAGACAGGCTACTTGATTTTACTTTTAAGAAATCCTAAAAAGGCCAACTACAGTGACAGAAAAGAGAGTCCCAATTGCCTGGGGAGAGGGGGAGGGGAGCAAAAAAACCACAAGGAAGCCTTTGGGGTTATGGGAGCGATCTTTGCCTCAATGGCAAAAGTGCTTGTACTGCCACAAACAGCAGCCACAATGCTCCAGGTGTGCATTCAAAGTGGTGGTTCCTGTTGGTAGGAGTGTAAAATGGTACCATCACTCTGGAATGTTGTATGGCACTTTCTCAAAACATTGCAAATAGAAAATTCCATTTGACCCAGCAATTCCACTACTGGGAATATACCCTAAAGAAACCATAACCTCCACCCAAGCATATATATGCACACCCATGTTTATCACGGCTTTGTTCACAATAGCAAAGAGTTGAAATAACCCAAGTGCCCATCAACAAATGAATGGAGAAGCTGTGGTATCTTCACACAATGGAATATTATGCAGCACTGAAAAATAAGGAACTCATGAAATATTATACAAAATGTGTAACCCTAGAGGACATTATGCTGAGTGAAATATCTCAGTCCCAAATACAAAATGTGTAACCCTGGAGGCCATTATGCTGAATGAAAGATCTCAGTCACAAAACACAAAATGTGTAACCCTGGAGGCGATTATGCTGAGTGACCCATCTATTTGGTCCTCTATTTTATCTCTTTTCTTGTCCCCCTTTAAAATAATGCTGTCCACTGGAAATACAGAGAGAACCACAGGTGTAGGCCAGGGCGAAAAAAGGTAAAGTTAATCTTAATACATTTTTAATGTTTTATTTCCATTTTAATATGTTGTCGTATCCTTAGTCAATTAGTTTACATCTTGTTCTTTTGAACTAGCTCTTCAAAATCCATATGTATTTTATCTTTACAGTATATTTCAATTTGAATTAATCATATTGGACAGCAAAGTCGAAAATTAGAGACTAAGTTTTTAATAACTGAATATTTTACAAGAACAGCTTGCTTCATCTTGTTAAAAGTCTCGTATATTAGAACTTTACAAAGCACTACATGAACCAAATTAAGTGTCCTGCTTAAGGCTTAGATGAAATTACTATTTCTGTGAAGGGTGGAAAAACAGAACTAGGTATAAAAAATAAAGCAAATCTGCCTGTGGAAGAGCTCTGAAATGGACTGTTATGCGACTATGAAGTACTTATGGCAGGAAAACAAAAATTAAGTCTGTTTTGTTATCAAGTAAAATGTAAGTTTATGAGGCTTTTTTTTACCCAAATGAGGTGTCAACCTTCATAAATGAGTAGTTATGACCAAGAAGCTAAACCCTATTAAAAGCTGACTGTATAGCCCATGAGTGGTTGAGAAGCAAAAATAATAAGTACAGTCTGTGATAAGTGATACACTGAGTTTTTTGTTTGACAGTTCAGTTGATTATTGTGTTCTTTGCATATTCATGTAAAACTGAAGTGATTTTGCAGTGAGCTACATTAATGACTGTAGATATAGTGGCCTGTCAAAGAAAGATGTCCTACTTAAAAAAAGATAGGTGATTTATTTTTGTTAGCTGTCATATTTATTACCTTGAAAAGACAACTATGATGGCCATCAGAACCAAAGCATGGGTATCACATTGCACAAAACTGGGTATCACGTTGATGCACTTTGTAGTTAATAATGTGCTTGTTCTTCACAGATTATCATAGGAAAAAAGAAAAAAACTTGAGGAAAACAGGCGGTATTAATATTGGTAGTGGCTGACAGAGTACAAATAGTTCTAATTCCTACAAATAAAAAAAGTAAACATTAAAAAAAATATTGGTAATCGCCTGGAGGCGATTATATCTCAGTCACAAAGGGACAAATACTGCATAATCCCACTGTTTTAAAGCAGGCTTGACATAGGGGTTGGTGCAAAACTAAAAGAAGGGATAAATAATGTATACTGCATTGAAACAGATGAGGGAGAGAACTGTTTTTAAACAGTTCTTTTTTAAGGGATATATGATTATGTATTAAAAGTTCCCTTTTAAGGGATATATGATTAGGTATTATTGTCATGACAGGAGTCCAGAACGAAGGCTACATATTGGAGTGGGCCTGGGGGGAGGGATTATAAAACAATGAAATAATTTTTCTTTTACTTTTCAAAGAGAATCGTGAACTGGGTGGGGGAGGAGTGGGCAGTAAGAAAAGTGCAACAATGAATGAATGGAAATCCAAAGTCTCTATAAACTTCCATTTAAAATAAATAATAATAAAAAATCTTAAAAAAGCAGTGGTGCCTCTTATTTTATGCAAATTATATCTTAATTACTGAAATGATGCTCACCTCTTTGCCCTCAAGATCAATAGACAGAATCTGTCCCTGGCCTTGTCCAGCTTTCTTGCTGTCTGTCCTTCAGTACCTAAGAGAAAAGGGGTTACAAACATGGACCCAGAGGCTCGGAGAGAATCCTTGCTGTCCTGGCCTTTTCACAACAATGTGGCTTGTGTCAAGGACACATCCTCAAAAAACCAGAAAAGGCCCATGCATAACCACCATGATAGCCAAGGGGGGAAAACTCTTCTACCAAGGCAATACATTACCATCATCCCCAGGAGAAGTGGGCCCCCTGGGAAGAAGCATGTTCACAGGGCAACTTCTACAGCATTCTCCAGGTGCTGACAACAACAGAACGGGAGCAGGACCCCTCTGGAGCCCTGGAGCCCCAAGGGGAGCACAGGCTGTCTGTCAATCCTGTGAACTTCTGGACCACAAGGAAAGGCCCCTGTTGAAACAGACTAAAACCAGAGGGTCTCTTGGTATTGTTTCCCCACAAAGAGGTTGAGTTGAGGTGACTAGCAGTTAGGTAAACTAACATACATACAATGACAATTTAGCAAAACAAGTGAAAAAGGTTTATTAAGGCAATAAAACAGAGGCACGGCTGTGAAGGGCCATCAAAAAGAAAGAAAAGGGAGGGAGCAACAGTCAGGTGGGCACTGCATTTATTGACTTCCAAATTCACCAAAACAGCACCAAGAACTCTGGAGAGAAAGCTGCAAGAGAGTCTGGTAAATTCTTGGCTGCCACAAATGACACTGATCAACTGTGAACGTCCAGGTTGGCAGCTAATCTCACCTAGTGGGAGCTGGGGGGTGGAGGCCACTGGTGGCAAGAAGCTGCGCTGCAGTCCCAAAAGCATGCCGTTCAAATTCACCAGCTGTTTCACGGGAGGGTGTTCAATCTCCTCCCATGTGACTTACTACCTCTGAAACCCCGCTGTGGGGGAGGGGGTGTTGGTTAACTATGGGTAGGTTCTGACTTGATCGCACACCACCACAACTGAAAGTGATGTCACAGCAGAAAGTCCTCATGATCTGCTTCCATAAAATTATGGCCTCTAAGACCTGGGGGAGAGCAGTCCCGCTCTGGAAGCTTGCGGGTACCATTGGCTCAAGGGCAGCAGGGGTGCGTGTATGCATTTGTGCAATTATGTAAGTCTGTGAAAGACCCCAATATCCTGTTCAGCTGGTATCCAAAGGGGGAAAGTTCACAAAGGCGTATCAGAAGCTAAGGCTGGCCAACCTTCTGGAGAAAATCTACCACTGGGAGGGTCCCCCGGAAGCATGTTTCTGCTCTGCACCAGGCGGCGTAGCCAAATCGACCGGAAGTCACCTGGATTCCTGGTGCAGGTCCGAGGGAGGAGGTACTGAGATGCTTCCTAGAAGAGAAGGCCTTGCTGTTGTTGTGAAGTGCCTTCTGTTTTCTTTCTCACTAGAAGACAAACCACAATGCAAAATCCTCATTTAGGGAACAAATGACAAAGTCCAACTTGATTATTTTTGCAGATCTCCACATGCAGAAAGCCTGAGAAAATTCTTGAGCAAGAGCTGGCGGCACCAGCTGTGGGTGCCTGGTCAGCACACTGGCCACACGCCCTCGGTCAGCCCTGCACGCTCTCCTGGAAGGGTGCTAGGCAAACACAGAGGAACCAATGTCGCCACACCAAATGCCAACCTTGGCACCAACTTCTGTGAAATAACAGAAATCATCACAACTTCTCTTGAAGGCAAAACCGTGAGTAATACCAAAGATGCCACAATCGTTCCCAAATTAAAGGTTAAAACTTCCAGGCATGAAAGTGCTGTAGGAGCATCATGCAACTGCTCTGCCCACAGCCCAGGTGTTAACAGCCACAAGAAGGTGCTGGGTTGTTTACGTCCAAACTCCAGTGGATTCACAAGAAACCAGGAGAATTGCAAATGCCCTCACTCAGCAAAGGATACTCAACCCCTGCTTTTCCCAGGGTCAGCTGCCTGCTGTCTGCCCCTCCTCCCACTCATGGCCTCTCTCTTGTTCACTCTCCCTTAAAGAGAAATGGATATTCAAGAGTAGACATGTAAAGTCTTTATAAGAACATGCAAGGCCATGAAACTAGAACATAACAGTGTCTCAACTTGCACTTGATCTTGGTTGTGTCTTCACGGGGGAGTTTCAGTCCCTAGGCCTTCTCCACATGCTAAACCTAAAAACCCATTGTACTGTAAATCATCCAGCCCAAAGCTGACAAGGGAGAGTTCTCACCTTCCATGCACAACACCTCATTGAATCCCAGTCAGTGCACCTCCTGAGCAGCTACCATTTCTCTGTCCATCATGTGCTATGATGCTGAGAGAACACTTTAACCCAAAAGAATGGGGTTAGAATCCACAATCTCCTCCTGTGTGATTTACTGCCTCTGAAAACTCACTGGAGGTTCAGCTATGCAGCTATGGAGGGATGAGTATGCAGCACAGTCCCCTGTGTGGGAGAAAGCAGCCATTGGATAAGTCCTCCTGATTCTCATGTGGAATGGCTGTGAGGAGTGGACTCTATGGGAAAAAGCAGCCATTGGATGAGTCTTCCTGTTTTACACAAGGAACAGATGTGAGGTAACCAGTTCACCGGTCCAAGTTGGTGGCCAGTGGGGACGTGAGGCTCCCCATGCCCCATCTTCACTCCAGAAAGAGACTTCTTCAGGTGAGGGAGGGAGGGAAACTTGAATGAATGAAACCAAACTCTTTGTAAACTTTCACTAAAATTTAAAAATAAAATAAATCAAGAGCTAAAAAAGAGAGAGAGAGGCTCCTAGAATGAGACTCCTGAAGATGTCCTAGGAAGTTAATGGATGAAGATTGACCAAAATGGCAATCTATAGACCCTGTAAGTGGAGGCTCTGAGGAGCAGGCAGGAGGGAAACCATTTTCTAAATTAACACTTCTGTGTAAGGAGGTCTCAGATAGCCTGCCCTATTCAAGACAAAGTCTAGAAAAAGTCAAACTTAAAGTGTCTACATCCTTAATTCAAAGGAAAAACTCACAGTCCTCTTTGCTCAAACTTGACCAAGCACACTGCTTTGCTCTGATGTGTCTCCTCTCCCATTTCACATGCAACTGAGGCCAATTGTATTCATAGCAGAATGAGATTTGAATTAACTTTCTTCCATGGAAAGAATAAATCCAAGAAGCTGGCAATTTGCCAGGTCCAAGGACTATAAATTATAAATGCACTCATTGCAGAAGATCAAAGAATGCAGCCTTCAGTGTGAAATGCATCTCAATGTTAAGAAAATGAAGATTCTTACCACTGGACTGATAGGCAGCATCATCATAGATGGAGAAAATACTGAAACTATCAACAACTTCCTCTCTTACTTGTATCCATAATTAACAAACACTCTTAACACTAGCAGCTGGGAAATAAGAAGATCCATTTTACTGGGAAAGTCTGCAGTTAGGGACCTCACCAAATTATGGAGGAGTAATGATGTCAGTTTGAGAACTAAGGTGCATCTGATTCAGGCCATGGTCTTTCCAATCACTTGCAATACATCTGAGAGGAGCTGGACAATGAATAAAGATAAAAGACATGGAATTGATGCCTTTAAGCTATGGTGTTGGAGAAGAGCACTGAACATCCCATTGATGGGCAAAAAATCAGTCAGATGTGTCTTGAAGAGAGTGCAGCCAGAGTTCTCTCTGGAGGCAGGAATGATGAGGCTTTACCTCACATACTTCAGCCATGTTGCTAGGAGGTGCTGTTCCTTAAAGAAGCTTGGAAGGGTGGAGGGTCAGTGAAGGAGAGGAAGACCCTCAACCAGGGGAATTGACTTCGTGACTGCTACCATGAGCTCTTGTGCGTCAGGAAGTATGAGGATGGTGCAGGATCAGACAGGGTTCACATCTGTAGTTCACAGTTTCACTATGAGTCATTTTTCACTCAACAGCACCTAACAACAACAAGGACTATAAAAATAAGCAAGCATCTGTTAGAGGGGGGTCAGCCTGCCAAAGTGCACCAGGGAGGGTTGAAGGCCACTGGGCATGGCCAAGGGCCAGAGTGGGCCAGTCACAGGCCACAAAACATATCATCGTCATCCTTCCTCCTTCTAAAATGTTTCTTTCAATGACTCACAAAGGTTAACTGTAAAGCTCTTAAATTTAAAAACAAAACAAAGAAGAAGAAGAAAACCCACAGGGTTTTCCTTTTACAGATTGTCCTCAGGAGACCTTCCACAGAGCGTTCCCTTGGTCCTGATCCTCGACTGGCAACTGCTGCTTAGCATACATGTTTACAGAAATACCAGCGTTACTGCGTGTTCCTCGCCATGTGATTAAGCATAGAGCCTGGGCTGGGATGGAAACTCAGCTTTGCTCTCTGAAAACATTTTGGAGACTATGCTGTGCATCTTGTGCCATCTATTGGTCATGGCTGGAAAGGGCTTTGCCAACTGCCAATGAATCAGCCAGAGGCAGTGTCTCAGCTGCCACTCAAGGCAGGAGGTAACAGAAACACAACCAACTGTTGCACACTGGAATCCAGCCCAGGCTTGTCCTCCCCCAGAACAGGCTCAAGTCACCTGAGCTGCTATCTGAGGAAACTGCTCCTTGGGCCTCTTGCTCTATTAAGGACCTGGGAGACTATAAGAAGAACAATGTGGCATCAGATTGGAGGAATACCCATGAACAACCTGAATTATGCCAATGACGCAACCTTGCTTGCAGAAAATGAAGAAGATTTGAAGTAATTCCTGAAGAAGATAAAAAAAACTAGACTTCA